AGAGTGATCCCACAAAAGTGTCCTACAGGAGTGTCCCACAAGAGTGTCCACAAGAGATTCCTACAAGAGTGTCCCACAAGAGTGTCCCACAAGAGTGCCCTACAAGAGTGTCCCACAAGAGTGTCCTACAAGAGTGTCCCACAAGGGTTTCCTACAAGAGTGTCCCACAAGAGTGTCCTACAAGAGTGTCCCACAAGAGTTTCCTACGACAGTGTCCCACAAGAGTGCCCCGCAACAGTGTCCCGCAAGAGTGTCTCACAAGGGTGTCCCTTAAGAGTGTCCCACAAGAGTGATCCCACAAGAGTGCCCTACAGGAGTGTCCCACAAGAGTGTCCCACAAGAGTTTCCTACAAGAGTGTCCCACAAGAGTGTCCCACAAGAGTGCCCTACAAGAGTGTCCCACAAGAGTGTCCTACAAGAGTGTCCCACAAGAGTTTCCTACAAGAGTGTCCCACAAGAGTGTCCTACAAGAGTGTCCCACAAGAGTTTCCTACAAGAGTGTCCCACAAGAGTGTCCCACAAGAGTGTCCCGTAAGAGTGTCCCACAAGAGTTTCCTACAAGAGTGACCCACAAGAGTGTCCTACAAGAGTGTCATTTGGACATATGTAGCTTTTTGAACGTGTTTGCATTCGGGTTCGTGGGCTCCATCTTGTTTTTTTTGCATATGTTCTTCTGATTTTTTTTTTTCTCTCTCTCTCTCTATGTACGAGGAGCATCCAAAGGGTGCTCATTGGGCACCCCTTAGCACCAAAACTCATTGAGCACCCCTTACGAAATTGATGTTTTTAAGCTGCAACTGAACCACTTCAGAGAGGGATTGATGATGTTGTTGTGTTTTGATTTGATAGTGATGTTAACAAACCACCGGCCGCGGCCGACGAAGCGTCCCTCAACCTCCTGTGGCGGTTCTGCAGCCGCCTCACGGGGAATTGAGCGCGGCGCTCAGTGTGCGAGGTGAACATCTGTGGTACACACATGCAGGTTGGCAGTTCACATATATATATATATATATTACTTTTTGTTTTGGGCTACGCCGCCGTTAGCGGCGCTGAGTAATTTGTGTTTTGTGTTATTTTTTGGGGTTCAGGGAGGTTTTGGGGGTTCACCGCTCTTCACTTGAGGGGGCCTTTGGAGGGTTTCGGGGTGCCAGGCTGCTTCACTTTTGAGGGCTTTTGGCGAGGCTTTTCGCGGTCACAATGAGCTTCACTTTCGGGTGATTTTGTTGGGGAGGGTGGGCTGGGTGCTTCAGTTTCGGTGGTGTTGGTTTATCGAGGCTGCCCGAACTCATCCATTGGCCAGCAACAAGGGTGCGAATTCTGCCGCGTGTCAGCGTGTCCTTCCGCTTCTGCTTATTTATCCCCATTTGCTGCTGCTGATTTAAAAAGTATTTCTTGTTCCTCTGTTTGCACCTTCCTTCTCCTTCCTTTCTTTTTGATCTTACTTCTCTTTCTGCATTTTTGGTCTTTTACCATTTGCTTCTTCTCTTCCTTGTTTTCTTCTTTCCTTTTCTCTCTTGCTTGACTTCCTCACTGTTTCTGCTTCTGATTGTTCTGCTCCTTCTGCTGCCTCTTCTTCCGGTTCTTCTTCTCATGCTTCTTCTTCTTCTGTTAGTTAATTCTTTTACTTCTTGATGTCAATCTTCTTCAATCGGTGCAAATTAATGCACACACGGTCGTTCTTCTATGTTCTCTAAGAATCCAAAAGGCCCTCTGACCAATGGTTGACGAGTCTGGGCTTGTTCTATTTTTGTTTTGTGTCTGGATTTGTTACTTTTTCCTTGGAAAAATAACAAGACGATACCGACTCAAATAACAAACCAGACTCAAAAAAACAACAAAAACAATCAATCTAGATTTGTTCGCTTGCGTTATTTTCTTGAGTGTCAATTTGGTTTTGCTTTGTTTTTTCGAGTCTCTCTCTGTTGGCCGTTCTTGAACTGGAGTTGTTTTGTTCTTTTAAAATTCCTTTTGTTTTTTTGACGAAATCGATGTTACAATTCTTCAGGGTTACCAGGTACACTGTATTGAGCCTGAAGTTGGGAACAGAGGAATCAGTGGCGGTGATATGTTGGGAACTAGGTAAGTATCCGGCTTGTCGCCTGGAATGTGGGAAGGCTGCTATCTGGAATCTAGAGGTTGCTAAATCTGGAAATGAATTTGGTAAGATGCGAGTTGCAGAACTGCAAACATTTGCAAACTCAATAATTCTATATACAACTAGTAGCCAAGTTATCCCATGGTGCCCCTCCCACACACACACAATATTGTTATTTGTGTGTTGAGACCGGTGTATATGCATAGAACATCTGATCAATTTTCCCTATTTCTGGGAACTCGTTTCTAATTATATACCAATCTATTTGGGAAACCCTGCTTCGGACATTGAGCACCCAGGGATCTCTTTCGTGAGTGAGACTCAACTCGCACGAAGTTCTTTCGGAAGAGTGTTTTCGAACTCCCTCCCCGACCACCACAGGCCTCCGTCAAACCGGCCGCGGCTATGTTTGGTCACGGACGCCGGATGCCCATTGGGACGCGTCCCGGCGTCCGCGTTCCGGACGGGTTCCGGACCCTTGAACGCCCAAGGCTTCATTGCGACCGGACAGCGGGTACGGCTGGATTCCTTCCTCCTGCAGGGCCCCGAGGTGACACCCCCCGCCGCGGAGTTCTCCGTCTCCAACCGTGCCGCGAGTGCAACGAACCGGTCTGGGTCTTGGAGAGGTGGGTCGTGCATCCCCAAACCCGCCGGTATCTCGCTGGATGGGTCCGGGCTGTCCGGGCTGTCCGATTCGACGCTTCTTGAGGGAGATTGATTCAATTGATCGATTCATTCCGGCAAGGAAAGAGAGACTAGCGGTAAGTATGCCAGGACCTTCCAACAGGCTGTTTACACGTGGTTTCTGGGTGGGCACCTGTTGTCACCAGGAAGCACCTGCTGGAGGGTCAGGTACCAATGTCCTTGTACAAGACATCCTGACAAACAGTCGCCTTTTTGCCGTCCCACATTCTTTTCTCCATCGCTGAGGTGCTGGAGAGTACTATGGCGGTGTGACGGTGCATGAAGTCGAGGTCTACATGGTCTTCCCTGTTGGTGTGGTCACCGGCCAATCCGTCGCCGCTTGGACGGGAGAACCCGCGAGGGAGAAGGATGGAGAAGCATATCCTTTGGAGCTTTGGGGGAGCATAGGGCGCTTGCCCTTGGTCCGTACAGAAGTTCCATTCACCTTACAGTAGGTATCATGAGGACTTCCCGTGTGCCTTTTGATTCCTTTTTGATTCCTTTTGGTATCCTTTGATTCTTGTTGTGTTCCTGGATTTGATTTCTTCTGTATTGACCTTGGGGACCAGGTGAGACCATGGCAAAGCAGTCCAGAAAGATCATGAAACATCAGGCATGATCCAAGATTTGCGACACATGGGTGGTTCCGCACGTCGCACACATCTCAACAACGCACATCTCACGTGGTGGTCAGGTGATTACCGCGCCTCCGGGTGTGGAGCTTCAAGGGAATGGGACTGCGAACAGCTCTTCTCAGTGCCTTGAGCCGCGGGTCGCGACGCGGTCAGTTCGTTGAGGGTGGGGGGGCTGGGAACCACGTGCGTGGAAAGCACCTACACTGGTTCCAGAGTAGATAGCACAGACCACTAGAACCCCTACATGTCGTAGACAGATGGGGGTCCATCACCGACCTTGGGAGAGTGTGCCACCGACCTTGGCGAAGGTTGTGAGTGGGATGACGCATTCTTGTTATATGTTTCCCCATGACGCGGAAGGGTTGTTCCAATGGTCAAGTTGACCAATTTTCTTGGGGATGGTTTAGCTTTGGAATTGCACAACCTCCCTGTCAACACAGGAAACAAATAGAAAAGGCATTATGTAATGCAAATCTTTTGTTCTCAGAGTTTCGTAATTAGATGTTTTTAGAAGAATTCAGAATGCCTGTAACACATATATACAAGATACATCAAAAAATGGCTTAAGCGGGCTGATCCAGGCTCTTGGATGGTTCGGGGATGTATATAAGAGCAGAAGCAACTCCTTTGGCTAAGAAGAGGTGACATGCCACATGTATGTGGGACATAAGAGCTGGGTGAAAAGATTTCTTGTTGTTTTGGACCAATGCACCTGGAAAAACGAGGCAAACGCGTGATCCAGAGCTCTTCAAGACAGGCACTGACAGCAGGACTTGCCCCCTAAAAACGTCCTCCACTGATCTGCGGTCGATCCAACGATAGCTGCGCACGACGCAGCTGTCGGGAGCACGAGGGCTGAACAAGTGTATCGAAAGGGCAGGGGCAAATGCCACGTGGCAGAGATCGCTGAAACTGTGGAAGGGGTGAAGAATATGGGAACTTTGATTGGAACTCCGCGCCGGCCGGAAAGCTCCGATAAATGATCCTTAATAAATACTGTAGTAGATTTGTATCAAATGGTCAGAAGGATCGACCCTTTTCGGAGTTTTGGCGGTGCTAGCCGCAAATCAAGAAACATATATTCTTGATGTTTGCTCAGTCATTATACGCTTGAACGTATTTATTATAACTTATATTGTCGGTGCAGACATCCGAAGATCGCCCAGGAAGTGCTTGGACTTCAGGCAGGCTGCGCATGTTGCAGGGCTAGGCGGCTAGGAATTCGCGGAGACAAAAGGACACATGACATGCATCCTGGATGTGGGAAACTGGTTTCACCACCACACTTCTCGCTCTGGAACACATGTTTTGAGGGTGTCCCATTACCATCCATTGCCTGTAACAGTCGGTCAACAATTAGCACTGTTTTAGAGAAAGGCCTTTACTAACCATCATCATCCACTTTTATTGGCAATGGGATAGTCCCAACCCATATTCTAAGTAGATGCTTAAGCCCCTCCAACCATGCCAAAATACGTGGAACCACTACGTTCTGTGCTTGCCGCGCGCTGGGGCTTGATGCTCAAGGCTGCTAGGGCACAGATGGAGTTCGTGAAGTGATAATTCTAACTTCATGTTCATATTGTATGTCCTTGCGATGCTGGGCGGTCATTTTGTTCGTCCAAGTGATCGCGGAACGTGGCCGAATCCAAGAGAAGGCGCTGGAGCTCGATCCTGAAAGCCACTCGCCCAAAGCTTGGCGCAAACCAGTCTTTCACATACTGAGATGACCCACATGTTCGGCACTTTGGGTTTCCTGGAAGTCCAAGACCATAAAAACCAATGGTGGACCTGGTGTTGTAGTGCAAAATCCTTAGTAAAACAATGGTGGTTCGGTAGAAACCATTCAAAGTATTTGTGGTTGGAAGCCTATGGGGTTGACATGTTGAAATATTGTCCACTCACCGATGCGGGTTGGACCTTCATGCGCCATGCACCGTTGCAACTCCTGTTCAGATTTGTAGTGAAAGTAAACGGAATCGGCGCCAGGTGCATCAAAGCGCTCCTGTCCACAGTGGGCGGCTTTGCAGCTAGTGCTGAAGAAGTTGGGCATCGATGAGCTTGAGGATCCCTTCTTGGATGGACGCATCGAATGGAACCTCGGATGAATGGTGGTGAGGGCAGTGAAAGCACAGCTAGGTCCCGTGAAACGTGGCCATCGTAGCTGTTGATGGTGCGAGTCCAAATGCTGATGCACGTCATGACCTTCATGAGAGTTTTGTTGCCAGGCCCCTACCAGGGCAAATTATATACAGATTCCACACTGCACCTGCAGACCATGTGTTCTGCATAACCGCGCAGTGGTGCAAAAGGCCAGCATGCAAGACTCTGGAAACCGTTGACACACTGAAGGCACAGCCAGCACATGACTTTCCTGCACCATTGACAGCGATCAAGCTGGCTGCTTCCATGTTTGAATCGCGTTGCACCTAGGACTGGCTGCAATGTGGAGATGATTGACCTGGCAAACCTGGCCATCGAAGGCAGCCTGGACGAGCACATGGGAGAGTTCATTTCCTTGAAGAACTTGGATCTTCACAATACAAGAGTGTCTGGCGACCTGACAAGTCTTCAAGCCATGACCCAGTTGAAATTTCTCGACCTCGAGAACAGCAACGTTGCTGGAGACCTGTCTAGTCTGCGAAGCATGACCGAGTTGCAGGGCGTCTATCTCAGAAACAGCGGGGTGACGGGTGATCTGTCAAGTATCCGGATGATGACTCAGCTGAAGTATCTGGAACTCGAGGATGCACAGATTGCCGGTGATTTGGAAAGCCTCCACCAGCTGACCAGGCTGCAGAAACTGCATCTGGGGAGTACTGAAGTGTCTGGTGACCTATCAAGTCTCCAGCATCTCACCCAGCTCCAGGAGCTTTTTCTGAGCAGCGCCGAAGTTGCTGGCGAACTGTCAAGTCTCAGCAGGTTGACCCAGCTGCGGAAGATGTACCTGGGCAACACCAAGATGGCCGGCAACCTATCAGCTCTTCAGGCCATGACACAGCTGGAGCATCTTGAAGTCAGTGACACCAAAGTTCAAGGTGACCTCTCAAGCCTCCAAACCATGACCCAGCTGAAGTACCTCGACCTTGGTAATACCAAAGTTGCTGGCGATTTGTTCAGCCTCCATGACCTCAGGGAGCTAACTGCCATTGACTTCACCAGCACAAAAGTGGCTGGTGATCTTTCCCATCTCCAGGCCATTGCTAGGCTCGAGCATCTCGACCTTGCCAATACCAATGTCGGGGGTGACCTGTCAAGTCTCCAGACGAGTACCCAGCTGGAGTATCTCGACCTTGGTCATTCGAAAGTGACGGGCGATTTATACGGTCTCCGCACCGTAACGCAACTGACAACTATTGACCTCACCAACACAACCGTCGCTGGTGATCTTTCACATCTGCAGGCCATCACTCCGCTCGAGTATCTCGACCTTGCCGAAACCAATGTCGCGGGTGACCTGTCCAGCCTCCATCGAATGAACAAGCTGGAGAGGCTCTATCTGGATGGCACTGAAGTTGTCGGTGACCTGTCGAGCCTGGAAACCCTGACAGAGCTGCAGGAGCTCTTTCTCAACAGCACCGCAGTCACCGGCGACTTGTCGAACCTACAGGCCCTTTCCAAACTGCAGGAACTTTCGCTTAGCAACACCAACATCGCCGGTGACCTATCAAGCCTCCAAACTTGCACTCAGCTGCAGAAGCTTTATGTGGAACGCGTTGAAGTTGCAGGTGACGTGTCAAGTCTGCAGACCCTCACCAAGCTGCAGGAGCTGTTTCTCAGCAACACCAAGGTCGACGGTGACCTCTCAAGTCACTACAGTATGGGTTGACGCAGCTGCAGAAGCTGCACTTGGGCAGTACGCGAGTTTTCGGGGAACTTGCAAGTCTTGTCTATGGACTGACGCAGCTGCAGGAGAATGCTTTCTGTCATCAGCACAGAAAAAGCGGAATCATGTGGGCCCACTCTTTGCCCGGATAATGTGGTCCATCATCTTCTTTTGGATTGATTGTATGAGATGAGCAAAGATTGTTGAATTTGTGGTGACTGGTGACTCCTGGAAATCATCCTGAGTCTGAGTGAAAACAACGGTTGGGGGAACCATTTGGCTGGCAATGCCTCCAACAATGCTGATGATCGCCATGCAATAGAGGTTGGCACACACTCTGACATTGGTTTGCTGTTAACTCAATTCCCACGATGAGAAGGAAGGCGATGGAACAGAAAGGTGCATGAGTCAGCAAAACAGTATTGTTGAACAATGTTTCACTCGCCCGGCTGACTGTAAGTCTCCGGTGGCTGAGAACTGCGGTGGGAAACCTGTTTGTGGGAGAGTATCGTGAAGAAGGACCATCGAATTAACGAACAGCGGCAGGGTGGACCAGTGGTGTCAGTGTGTTTTAGGCAGGTACACAGTGGAGCGTCCTCCACTGCTTCAGCACCGACTGGCACCCTCTTCGTTGGACGGGCAGTGCCAGCGGTGTCCCGTCCCCCTGCTTATCGAGTTGAGAAATGACAGGTAGCACCCTTTGGAACAGGGGTTGACACACACACACACACTCTTTGCGCGCACGGTAGCCAATGAGGAAAAGGGTTGACTCAACCAGGGGGGCCCGGTGTAATGTTTAAGTTTTAAGAACTTCTCGGTCGCTTGCAGGAGCTCTCTCTCAGCAACACTGAAGTGCTGGGTGACCTGTCAAGCCTCCAGCGAATGACGCAGCTGGAGAAGCTCTACCTAGACGAGACTGAAATTGTGGGTAGACTGTCAAGTTTCTCTAAACTCATCCGTTTGGAGGAGCTCTTCCTTCGAAACACTGGAGTGCAGGGTGAGCTCTCTAGTCTTCGCAAGCTAAGGAAGCTGCAGAAACTCTACTTAGGCAACACCAAGGTTGCTGGCGAGCTCTCGGGACTTGAGAAAATGACACAGCTGAAGTATCTCGAACTCAGCAATGCTAAAGTTGCTGGTGATTTGTCAAGTCTCCAGGGGCTTTCCCAGTTGCATGGGGTATTTCTCAGCCACACCAAGGTTACTGGTGACTTGTCAGGTCTCCAGAACCTGACCCAGTTGAAGCAGTTCTTCCTCAGTGGCACCGACATTGTCGGTGATTTATCGGGTTTGCAGGGTATGCTCCAGCTGGAGAGGATTGACCTTGACAACACTCAAATTGGTGGTGACATCTCAAGTCTCCAGCGCATCCAAATGCTGCATTACTTGATCCTCGACAACACCAAAGTGAGCGGCAACGTCTCATGTCTCCACAGCTTGTCACGGCTAGAGCATCTCGGCCTGGAGAACACCAAAGTTGGTGGAAACCTGCTGAGCCTCCACGCCTTCACCCGCTTGCGAGAGCTCATGCTCAGCAACACCCCAATTACGGGTGAATTGTCCAATCTCCAGACTTGTAGCCAGCTGCAGGTTCTCGACCTCAGTGGCAGCTATGTGGCAGGTGACTTGTCAAGCTTGAGGAGCTTCCAGGCCCAACATCTAGAGACGCTCGTCCTCAGCAACACCGAAGTTCAAGGTGACCTGTCAAGCCTCCAAACCATGACCCAGCTGAAGGTACTCGACCTCGGCAACAGTAAAGTGGCTGGTGATTTGCGCGGTCTTCGCACCATCACGGAACTGACCGCTCTTGACCTCACCAGCACCAAAGTGGCCGGTGATCTTTCACATCTCAAGACGGCTGCACAGCTGCGGTTTCTCGACCTTGCAAATACCAAGGTTGCAGGTAACTTATCAAGCCTTCACCAACTGACTGAGCTGGAGAAGCTCTACCTGGACAGCACTGAAGTTGTTGGTGACCTGTCAAGTCTCCAAACTCTTTCAGAACTGCAAGAGCTTTTTCTCTCTAGTACTGAAGCTGCCGGCGACCTGTCCAATCTCCAGAAGATCAAGTACCTGGAGTACCTCGTCCTTGACAACACGAAAGTTTCCGGCGACCTCTCAGGTTTGCAGACTATGGCCTTTTTGGAGAGTCTCGACCTAAGAGGCACCGCAATTTCGGGTGACGTATCAAGTTTGAAGACCTTGACGCAGCTGCAGCATCTTTATCTTGCAAACACTGAAGTAGTGGGTGACTTGTCGGTCATCTTACACTGGCACCATATCAAGACTGTCGACCTGTCTCATACCAGTGTGTCAGGACAGCTCACTGCCCATTGGCGGGGGCATGCGTTGGAGCTTAGAACCTTCAAGCTGTCGCACAGTCAAGCAAAATTTGTTCCAACGAACGAAGACCTACTGGAACTTCGAGTGTATTACACTTCATCTGGGCCCGACTTCTTGTCCAAGGCAGTGTTGCCACAGCTGAACGTCTTGGAGTTGAGTGGATGTCCGCTGCACAGTCAGATTGGGGACCTCTTGCTTCCCCTCTCCGCTTGCCCGGTCTTGACCAGCATCAAGGCTGCAAACTGCGGCCTATTTGGGGTTCTCCCCAGCCTGAAGCTTGCAAGCGCGCAGGTGGATGGAATCACGTGGACAACATGGGAGTCACCTTTGTTGCAGTCACTGTTGACATGGGATCTTTCTTCAAATAAGCTGGATCATGTTGAAGCAATTCCTGGCAATGTTCAGGTATTGATGCTGGCAGGAAATCCGGCTTTGAGCTTTGCAGATGGTGTGCTACGTAAGGCTGTGACGGCTGGCGTGTTCCTGGACCTACAGAATGTCACTCTTACAAACAGCACGGAAACTTGGCTTTCGACACATTTCACTGGCAGCATGTTGGTGAGTTGATCATATTCTTGTCTAGCATGCGGCATGTACAGTATACAGTATATATATATGTATATATATATATAGATTGTAGGTATATTTAACATATTTGAGTTATCTACATTTATATTCCATTGAAAGCTGATGGTCATTCGGCTTTCAGGGATTCACCTCGGCAGAGTGCGTCCATACGGCCGCTGCCCGTCATCCTAGGAGATTGAAGAGCTCCTGGAAGAACGCGCGCTGACAAAAACTCCTGAGCTATTTTCGGTGAACCTTGAAGGTGGTTATTCCTGCTACTCGATCATGTCCAAGTCTTTGCACATCACGCCGGAAAAGTTGCTACCGCAGGACCTGTGCCGTTGCTCGCCTGGATTTGAAGGCACTGCAGTGAATTGCAAGAAGTGTCCCGGGAACACTTTTAAGCGTAGCTACAGTGGCATTTGCAAGACTTGCCCGGAGGGGAGTGAGCCAGAAGGAGGCATTTCATGCCGTTGCACCTTTGGTGACATGGTCGAGAGGGCTGGCGTTTACTCGTGCCCCGAGTGCAGAGCAGGCCAGGCATCGAATGGAACTTCTGATGAGATCCACAGTGACCACAAGAGTGAAAACTGCATACCGTGCCACAACTCGCACCTGGTTTGCGCCGATCCAGGTATGCTGCTTTGGCTTGCACCGCCGGAGGAAGGCTTTGCACGCCTCAAGGTGAATGATACCTTGGCCCTACCTTGCCTTCCACCGAAGAAGAGCAGGTGCAACAGCACTTCTGGCAAAGGTTCAGCACACCCAGAATGTGCGAAAGGTTACAGAGGTATTCTGTGCTCAGACTGTGCCGCTCACCACTACCTCAGCAACAAGATTTGTGAGCCCTGTCGGAGCGGGGACATGCTTCCAGACCATTGGCAAGTTGCTGTGGCAATTTCAGCGGCTCTTGCACTAGCAGCTCCATTTGCATTGGTGTTTTTGACCTTGGCGTTGGTTTGGGTGCGGCACAAACCACGGTGGCCCGCAATTGGCCCTTGGAAAGATCAGCTCCTCATACAGGCCCCAATTCTTTTGCAAACGTGTCAGCTCTGGGCTGTGCTGGCACTCTTGATGAAAGGTGAGGGTCAGCAAGGTGACGCAATTCTGCCAAATTGGGACCTACCTTACATCGAGGCACGGGCACTGTGGCACCGAGGCTGTATCGAGGCTTTTCTTGCAGCCTTTAGAACTGCATAGAACTGCACATGCCTCACAAAGAATCGGATAGGACCTTGACGCAACGTTTTGTCCCAACCCTCCAGGTGTTGCAGTTCTCCGTGGCCAGCCTCAAGGGCGCTTTGAATTTGCAATGCAAGTTTGATGGTGCGATGATTCGATTGGGGTTCGGACTGATGGCCCCAGTGGCCCCAGTGCTAGTCGTGCTGTGCTGCCTGGGGATGGAGGCGATAGATCATGGCTTTGGCATTGCCGCAGCATTGAAGGCAACACAGGGTTCTGCACTGAAACGTGCTGAAACCATATCCTCCATGCCACTTTCATGACATTCATGTCAAGATTCACTATTGACCACTGTGTTGTCAAATGGAGCCACTCCAGAGATATACCCTGCTCTTCAGATTTGTCAAACTTTGAGAATCGTGCAACTGAGAAACCGTAGGAGTCCTTTTGGTCCAAAACGCACCTTTGAGGCTCTTACACTCTTCTACGTGGGAGGTGCTTCCAGTACATTCAAGCTCTTGAGCTGCCAGAGAGTGGATGGAGAACGAGTCAGTCTTCCCAATGAGCCTCCTGGTCCAAAAGACATGACCCCTCGACTCGACTAAAAGAGTATTGGAGGGGGGACGTGACCTACAAATTCCTTTGGCTCAGTTATATATTCTTTTTTTCTCCGACCATTTGTCGAACATTTTGGTAAAGACTTAAGTCGGATAAATAGATTAATTGGCATGTTCCCAGTGTACCTTGGAGGAGCTAGGGTCATGCCTACTTGAGAAATAATCAAGAGGGGGTGGAGAGGTTGCACACCCCTCAATTAACAATCAAGATGAGTTATATAGGCCAGGCCATCAACTTGCTGGTGCTTAAGCACGCGTGGATGAGTGAAGAACATGTGTGGAAAACATTTTTCTGTAGATAGGTGATAGGCGTACTTAGGTACCAACATCGGGGGGGATTCCATAGTTTGTAGCAGCCACCACACTCAAATCCAGGCAGGAAAGCATGAACACCAAGCAGGAAAGCAGCCACCACACTGAAAACCCGGCGGAGTTGGGCTATGAAGTACGGGTCGAGTAGTTGGCCAGCGTGGGCCGGAGATCGTGCGGAGGTGCCATTTTCGCTCACAAAAACCCGGAAAGCAGCCGCCACACTGAAAGCCAGGAAAGTCGGACAGTAGCCACCAGAAAATTGATTGGTACCAAGGAGGAGTTGTGAGATGGTTGGATTGCTGGATGGGGGGAGACGCATAAAGAAAACATCAACAAAGAACCAAACATGCATCAAAATAAACATAAAAATGCATCAGCAAAAAACATAGAAAGAAACGAGCAAAGGAAGGAAGGAAGGAAGGAACGAAGGAAGGCTGTGAAATTGAAATGCGATGTTGCAAAACTTCGCAGAGACCATTGCAGTTATCAAAGCAAGATTCATTGGGGAAACTCCATGATATCTGTTTCTTGATCGTGCCAAGTTACATTGTGGGGGAGGGCGCTGCGCCCTCCCCCGCGCCCCCTCCCGCTTTTAATTCTTGATCGTAGAAATAGTTTCGGGTATAGCTTCCTAGACTAGCCCATTCCTATTTATGTGACTTAATTAACTATATATTTGCTTTATTGTTCACGTATTATCCGTGTTTATTTGTGTACTTTCTTTTCTCCCTTCCTGATTTCCTTCCTTCGTTCGTTCGTTCATATTCATTCAATCGTTCGTTCATATTCATTCAATCGTTCGTTCATATTCATTCATTCATTTCTTTCTTTCTTTCTTTCTTTCATTTCATTCTTTCAAATTTCCTTTCATTCATTTCATTTCATTCTCTTCATTCCTTTCATTCATTCATTCGTTCGTTCGTTCGTTCATTCATTCATTCATTATTTCATTGGATTTGATTGGAATGGAATTGAATTGAACTGAACCGAACTGATTCCAATCCAATCCATTCCAATCCAACCCAATCCATTCAATCATTCATTCATTCATCCATCCATCCATCCATTTCATTCATTCATTCATTCATCCATCCATCCATTTCATTCATTCATTCATTCACTCACTCACTCATTCATTCCTTCCTTCCTTCCTTCATTCATTCATTCAGTCAGTCAGTCATTCACGGATTCATTCATTCATTCATTCATGCATGCATGCATGCATGCATTCATGCATTCATGCATTCATGCATTCATTCATTCATTCATTCATTCATGCATCCGTTCATTCATTCATTCTTTCTTTTCATTTCGTTTCGTTTCATTTCATTTCGTTCATTTCATTCCACTTCGCTTCGCTTCGCTCAGTCATTCATTTCATTAATTTCACTTCATTCATTTCATTCGTTCAATGACTCATTCATTCTTTCTTCCTTCTTTCTTTCATGTTCATTTCATTTCATGTGATTTTAATGTTTTTGTTGTTTGATGCGTTTTATTCTTTTGATCACTTCTTCGAAAAGACTCCTGCTCTTCCCTTTGCACGCTTGGGTCTGTTTATTCCCGAATGCGTAGCGAAGGGTTCTCGTTTAACTCTGGGGGTCTGAGGCCTTGTTCGCGACTCGTTGTCTCAGCTTCGCAACCGTCCGCAACTGCTTGCCGCCGTTCGCAGGAGGACGCTAAGGCCGCTGCCATTGGGGGAAGGTTTTGGAGAGAGTGTGGGATGGAAGCGTGACGTGTCAGATTCATGTGAAATAGCGAGGAATCGTGTGGAAACGTAAGATGTTGAAGTGTGGGGGATGAGTTCACTGCGCAGGTTCGCTTTTTTCTGCGCGGTCACATTGGGATTGGCGTTTGGAGAGTGGTGCTTTTGGGGTGTTGGATGTGGCTGTGACATTGGGACTTGCGTTTCAGGGCACCGCATCGAAGCTCTGTTTTCGTGACAAGTCTCAACTGAAATGACGGTTTTGGTGGACGGGAGTGTGCTCAGAACGTGTCGAAATCATTCCAGAGGTGTGGTGTGGTGCAAATTTTGTTGAAGCTCACAATGATATTGTCACTTTTCGTGGCAGGCGCAGTACTTTGTGCGGGTTTTGAGGTATGGAAGTGCGATTTTCGTGGCAGGCGCAGGGGATCGTGAGGTTGCGAGGTGTGATGGAATCGTGAGGTTGCGAGTTGTGGTGGAGGTGAATGTCGCTGTGACATTGGGAGTGGCGTGTGAGCGGGCACTGTTTGGAGGGGCTGGAATCGCGAAACTGCTTGGCAGGGCGCTGCTTGATGTGTGTGCTCCGATGGGGGTTCCCGCTTGACTTTGGAGGAAGTCTCGAACGAAATGCTCGTTTTGGAGAAGAGTGTCCCACAAGAATGTCCGACAAGAGTGTCCGACTAGAGTGCCCCACAAGAGTGTCCTACAAGAGTGTCCTGCCTTTCGACAAGAGTGTTCCCCAAGAGTGTCCCACAAGAATGTCCGACAAGAGTGCCCCAAAAGAGTGTCCTACAAGAGTGTCAACAATTCTTTGGGCGCTTGTTTTCGAGTACGTGTTTGCATTCGGGTTCGTTCGTGGGTTCCATTTTGTCGTTTTTGTGTTTGTTTTCTATTCATTTTTGTTTTGTCCCGATCACCTGAAATATACTTATTTGTTAATTTTAAATTTTTTTCCTTCGCCCGTTGAAGGAATATTGCTCTTCCCTCTGCACGTCTGGGTCCGTTTTCTTATTCATGTTTTTTCGTGATCCCCTGAATTATATAATATTGTTTATTTATTTTTTGGTTCAATGTTGTTTTTTTTGTTGATCCCTCTCCCCTGGAATGGGGGGGCTTGGCAGTGGGGGCCACCAAGCAACATTTATGAGCATTAAGGAAAATTACTTGAGGAGTAGAGGTATGCCCGATTAATTTCCACAAAGCAGGTGGTTGGTCCTTCAATTATTGTTTTTTTCTAGGTCCTGCCAGGGCCCCATCTAACGCAGGGGTCATCAAAAGGACTCCCTGTCTATGCAACACGGAAGTGGCTGGCATGAACCCCGGAAGACTTTTTTGCAAGCTGTGTTGTGCGGCGGAAAGTTTCAGGTTTTCAAGTAATGCGTGTGTGGACAAAGCTCCCCTAGACCCTCGAAGCGAATCAGAAGTGGCTTCGCCAAACACCGGGCAAAGTGTAGAGAAGGTGCGCAGGACATTTGTGTTGAATCAATGTGCCATGAGTAGTGCAATGCATCATGTCCAAGGTTTGCGTTCCGCAAGTGGTTGCCTCACTTGCGTTGCCATGATCCCTCCTTGTCACTCGTGGACACCATGGGCTATGTGAGTGCCTTCTGCTATGGAGTCCTAGTTCCGTGTGCTTTGGCCTACTTGTATGCGAGGCAACACTTGGCACTTTTACCAGGCAAGATGATGATGGCTCCTTCGGTGAAGGATGGCAATGACGGGGCTTTGGAGATCCGATTGGCCGAGCTGAGCAGTTGTTCATGGGCCACTTCGAAGCATGTTTGCGGGAAAATTAGCAGGCGTTGTGGTAAGAGTTGGTGCTAAGCGAGGCCTTCTGTATCCTTCTGTCCAAAGCATGTGCATGTGTCAATTAACTATACCATATTATACGAAATGCACAACCACCCGGTTGATTTCGGGAGGGCTTCGGATTGAGATGGTTTGAACATGTTTGAACCCTGGTGGTGCTTGGACTTAAAACTGTTTCTTCTTAGGACTCTTTCCCACCGCAAGCTGAACATCGTGCTTCGGTATTCACAATCGCCAGTAATCAGATGCATGACATGGCATGCAAGTACCTCTTCAAGTCACACTCCAGACCCTTTCACAGCTTCAGTCCACCACCATCATGCCAGAGGCCATGAAATTCACATTTCACAACATGCCTTTGTGTTTGCACCCAAGGGCACAGTTTTAGGTTGTTCAGCTTAATGGTAAAGACTCCGCAGCAGGTTCTGGAGCAGGTTCTCTTTCCGGGGTTCCGGAAGGGGTTTCTGAGCGTGTTCCAGAGTTTTGGAGCAGGTTCCGGAGCAAGCTGCGCAACCATTTTGCAGATGTGCTGCCATCCTGCCATGCTGACATTGTCAGGGCATATATATTCGATATATTGCTGACGTGTCATCATGCTGGCGTGTTGGTATGCCGTCAAGCTACCATGCCCCTGCGCGCGCTGAAGGTGTTTGCACTTGGTCATACTCATTGGCAAATTTGCTGTCATGCTGTCGTGCTGCTTTGGCTGACATGTTGTGATGCTAACGTGCGCCAGCACGGTGCACGATCGCGCAGATGTGCTGACGACATTTGACGACCTGTCGGCTGCCGATCAGCTGGCACGGTGTCGACATGTTGGCTGTCGCGCTGTGCTGACTGAGACCGTTGAGATGCTGATGTCGGGTTTGCTGTCGAGGTGATGTGATGCGCAAGCGCAGATGCGGGCACATGTTCTGTGTGACAGTGATGATGGCGCGTGGATAACGCAAACGTTTCAAGCAATCAGGAGTTGCCAAAATCACAAGACTTGTTGATTTCCTAGGAAGCGGATGCTTGCCCAGTTGTTGCTGATTTTCTGGTTTGATTCTTGCCTGGTGGGTCAATCTGGTTCCTGAAGGGTCTGACCATGACAGGTTGACCCATTCTGGCAAAGGCGATGCATGCCCACTGGCCTACTAAGGAGAAAATGCTGGTGAAGGACCAGGAAGGAACTCTCAAACGGCGTTTGGTTGCTGCATCAGCTGCTCACATTGCTGTGCTGATCCGTGGCCGTGCACTTGTCCAACTCAAAGATGGAGCTGCCATTGTAAAACCCAGCGCAGGCGGGGTTGGGTAGGTTCCAGACTGTGATATCCAAGGAGGAACTTTTTCAGCGTTACCTTTCACAAAACGTGCTGACGCTTCGAAACGAAGATCTCAGGTGCAAGTGGACGAAGTACTGAAGCTCACACTTCAGGTGGAAGCAATGAGCAGCTGCAAGTCGGAGACGTGTTGAATTTCATGGGCGCAGAGCTGGACACCAAGGGCACGATCAAATGCCGAGAGCTCGCAGAAGCTATGATGGACAGGTGTCTGTTGGAAGAAGCGGAAGCATCAGAGCGCGCCTTAGCAGGTTCCAAGAACATCTTGTTCAAGTATGCACGCTGCCGAAGCATCTATATGGAAATTATTCAAAAGTTGGTGGCTGTTGCATTGGTCTCCGTCGTCGGTAGTGAGAATGGTCTTGAAATGTCGTTGACGATCATCTTGCTCATGGCCGCTGCAAGTGCTATGGTGCAACCCTTCTTGCTTCCGCAGGCGGGAAAACCTATCCCACATACAGATGTTTTCAGTCACGGACGATTCCTTTCACCTCTAGGGTTCTATGCCCTGTTTTGACAGGTATTGTCGTTGTTGTCGTGCCTGCAGGTCAATGTTCTCCAGTGCGGCTGCTTCTTGTGCTTGGCCTTTGCCGCCTTGAGCTTCAGCTACCAAAATGCTTGGTTTCTTGGCATTGCTTTAATACTTTATCCGACAAATTTCACTCGAGATCTACACAGTTGTTGAGCTTAGCCAAGCGCGCCCTTAGTCGTGTACACATGCCTGGTGGGGCAAAGCGTCATGCAATGGGGGATCAGGCGCAAAGAGTCGCCACAACATGTGTGGGCGCATTTCCAGCACAATGCAAACAACATACTACCAATATCTACCAATACAAACCCTAAAATCATGTGCAAACAGAACGCAGCCACAAATTGCACGTTGCATTTTCCCTTTCATTTTGCTAAACTAACATGTTTTTTGACATCAATTTATATTGTTGTAATGATTTTGGACCTTACATTTGTGCACTTTCCGCGTTCAACAAAATAACACGTAAAAACCGGCCCATCGGCCAACTACTTTGCCCTTGAAAACTGACTGTCAAGCCCCCCTTATGCAGGCTAAGCCGTGTTGCCTTGGCAGCGCCCTTTCTCTTGAGTGCTGTGTTGGCCTTGAGACCCGACAGCACGGAGGGCCTCGCGGCGCGGATCTGGCAGCAGCTGAAGGAGACAACAGACCTGGAAGATGCTCGGAATGGACATCATGAGACATGGAGCTCTTGGAACCATGATGTGTTGATGAGGGGAGTGGGGTGATGTTGAGAGATTCATCGGAATCAAGATGATCAAGTAAAGAAACTTCCAGCCACATGTTGGTAGAACATCTTAAGATTGCTTTGGAAAATTTTGGAAACAGCAAAGAGCCGTTTGTTGTTGCTTTTTCTCGGGGGGTTGTGAGCTGGTGGCTTGGAATGCATTGATAATAATTGTCAATTGATGTTAAGGCCGATTTCTAGAGAAGGGACCTTGGATTTTACTTGAGGAGCTGCTTCGTGAGTCTCCACAAAGTTAGTCGGGACACCACATGATATATTATCATTCTAACCTGAGCAGGCAACAATTTGACAGTTTGGCTTCCGTTACTCAGGATGGCAAGCCAGTGGAGGTCATCGCAGAATCTGAGCTGACAAAAACAGCGAGCTAGAGTGCTCTTCGAAAGGTTCTTTTTCAATTGCAGTTCCTTGTGCTGCTTCATGTGTGGTTTGATATATATAATTTAGATAGTAATAATTGTAGATCTATATGTATAAGTGTACTTGAGTTTGGCCTGTTTTGGTCTGCTTCTTGCTTCTCACAGTCTTTTTGTCACCTGGATGCTTTGCGGCCGATATCGACGTCACCTGAGACTGAGGAGACTTATGCCTTCCTCTGAGTAGAGATATGCATGTCTCACCGCCCATCGTGCCGTACACATGCACACGTGATCGTGCCGCAGCAAAAGAGAAGCTATAGGCGTATTTTTCCTTGTCTCTCTAGGTCCGCGGGCTGCGGACTTCTCGATTTCTTTAAGGGAACATGGAAGTCCGCAGCCGCGTTCCAGCCATGGCAGCCCGACCATCATCAGAACATGGCAGAACGACCATCATCATCTAGCCCGTGCTTGCCAGCCCGTGGCAGGTGGCTGGGCACCTATCGCCCCCTACGGGTGGATGCTGAAGCTCTTTGCCACTGCGACCGTTCCAGCTCCGAGGTTGCTTGCTCCTTGCTGGCCGCTTGGGTGAGATGTCGTGAGGGAGCGCGAAACGTGTTTAGACTCGAGTTTCGATGTGGGGGAAGGTGTGCTTTCTACTCGGACACTGGCTGAAAAGGAGCATGAACATCTCAGACAATGAGTTCGCAGATTGTATGGACTAACTATGGACCTTTGGATACCTTTGGTCCATGCTACTGGCCTACCATTTTTCCCCTCATGGGTGAAGTAAAACACGGATGATTCAGATGATGCACTATCGACACGATTCTTGAAAGCTGAACAGGTGGAGCCGTGAAGAAGCCCTGCTGTGCGTTTTCGTGGTGCCAGTGTGAGCTGAGCCGGTCGTGTGAACGAACCCTGGAACAATCATGGAAGTGGATGGCATTTGTTGCTGGAAAGGCCTCCTCTACAGCGGTTTTCCACTTCCATGATTGTTCCGGGGAGTGTGCTCCCCTGCAGAGGACCACATGGAACCTCAAAACATCTCAAAACCACGTCGGGTTGGTATTATTCGGACCATAGTCTAAGCACAAGGGTGAACCATCTCAGGTTCCATGGGATCGATTCAGGGAGTGCAACCCTCATTCGGACCGCACCCATGGGAGGACCACACTGGCTTGTCCTGTTGGTCCACCAGCAGCGGGGGGCCCGCTGCTGGGCGGGGGCCACGGAATGATCCAAGAGAGGTTGAGGTGGTTGGCTGCTTGACACTGCTTGAAGCAGTGTCAAAACACGGGGTTGCAGTCCAGGCCCCGTGTATTTGTTGCCTTTTCTTTGTTGCCAAACGTGATGCCTGGTGCCTGTGTTGGGGATGGTTTCGTGCGTTTTGCCGAAGAATTCTGGTCGCAGGTCGGAAGCTGAACCCAGACAAGTCATTGGGGTGGTTGACCCGGGGGCAATGTATCTACACTGGTTTCACTGAGTAGATGGCACAAGCCCACAGATGTGTTTTGTATGGGGTTCCTTATAGACCACCATTTGGGGATTGTGATGGTTTGTGCCATTTGTAACCTGTATTCCACTCTATTCCAGTCCCATCGGTGGTGATTGAGGAATGCAGTACCGTGCCCTCGTGCGTTCCGCACGAGCTGAGATGAATGTGTCGCACGTCCCAGTGGATGGAAAGCCAGTGCTGGAAGAGGGCGATCCCTTAAGTGCCTCGCTTTGGAAAGGAAACGACGGGCCAGGTAGGTGTAAGGTGTAACATGCGCGGGCGTGTGTGAGCAGGCACAAGTGGGATGGCCTAATTTGTCTAGCTGGGCTCGTCTTTGTTCGTTCACTTGCCCTAGCCCTATGACCCCCAGGGGTCATGCAGCCCTCAAGTTTGTGCACGCATCGATCCATAGGGCTCCAGTCGTACCTCCTCAGGTTGGGTATGACTAGACCCTGCACCCACCCCAGTCTCACCTTCGAAACGAAGGCACGACTGGAGGGCTAGGGGATTGAAGGGGTTTTTCTAAGACCTGGGCGTCGGACCGGGTCGGACGGTGAGACCATCGGATACGAGGCCACACACGACCGGTGAGGAAGAACCTGGGGCGCTCAGTTCGGGATAGGAGGAGGAACAGCGGAGTTCTGCCACCTTTCCCAGACATGACTAATGACCAATGGAACTGCGATATATACCGATTAGGCCAGGGGTGGTGCCAGGGGGGTCCATGGGGCGGCAGTCCGTCCTGGCAGTCCCAGACAGGTCGTATCCTGGGTTTGGACCACAGGCTGATGCATGTATGCGTATAGGCAATGCGCATGCGCATGCGTATCGAAGCCCGGGCATCTCAGCACATTGGCCGCTCCGCCCCGAGGCTTTCGGGTCTCGGTGGTGAATCCGCGAATTCCCCGCGCAGCGATCAGGAGTGGTGCGTTCGGTGCGGTGCGGTGCGTTTTTGGGGCCGACAGGGTGGCGACTCCTTTGGTTGGTTGATCAAGACGTGGTAGTTGGGGGGGATACAACCAATGGGCACAGGAAACATATGGTTATGGTTTTTGGGGTATAGGGTACTTGTCTTGTTTGGTTCGACTCTTAGTGAGCCAAAACCCCCGTTCTTGTCGACTCTGGGTGGCTTCCTCTTGATCTAAGAGCCTACCTGAACTCAGCATTCCCAAAAGGACGTGGGGCGCGGATCTTTTGGTCATTATTTTGTTGGATCAAGCGTTGGCCAGAAGGCAGACAGCCTGGTTCTTTTTGTAGTTTGTCTAGACTAGAATGATATGATTCAACCTGATGATTTGCGCTTTCGTATGCCCCCAAAAAATGGTAAAAAAGGGGTGTTCTGTTTCTTTTTGTGTTGCTTCTTATGATTTGTTGTTGATGTTCAATGTGTTTTCCTTGCTGTTTTCCTTCACTTCGTTGGTCGAGGGCTGCGTCGTTCGCGCGTGGTGGTTCGCGTGTTTTTTTTCCTGGGCGAAAGGGTTGATGGAATAAAAAGCACCATCATCTCTTTTGTGCAGGATAAGGTCTTATGACCACCCCATATCAATAAGATAGTAAAGACTGGCTGGGTTGCCTTGGGAGTGATGCCTGGTTTCAAACCTATTGCATCATTCCCTTCACTCTTCACCAGTCTTCAGATGTCTGTAGTGCTAGGAGGTGGCAGGAAGGGCGTGTATTGCTGTTGTTCCCTGCAGAACTCCACCCCCACCGGTGCATGTTATAGCCGGATGTCTTCCTCTCACCCCATCTCACCCCTCACCCCTCACCCCTCACCCCGACCCACCGGGCGACCGGGGCCGGCCTCGTGGTGTCCAGGAACTTCTGGAAGATGACCCATTGGTCCGCCGCGCCGGACCGGAGGCGCCGAGGGTGGTTGAGGTTGAGGGGAAGGCGTGGAAAGATGGGAGGGTGGGGGGCGTGTGGAGCCACGGGTAGCTTGAGGTCTGGGGGTGTGAAGAAAAAACAAGGGTGGGTACAGATGTGAAGGTGAGGGATGTGTCAGGTACAACAGTCTGGGGCCTGCGGCCTGAGGTCGAACCATTCGCGAATCAGACCGAGACGAACACAGTGCAAATTTGGCTCCGAGACGAGCGATCAGATCGGTCGTTTGATGTTGTTTGATGTGTTCTGAAGATGCCCCAGCTTGCCCATGGGAGCCTGCATTTTGAGTCCACCGGTTCCAAGTTAATAGTGAGTGGCAGTATCGGTAGATGTTATTTGTCTTGGTTTGTTGCTGGCTATCCCAGCGTATATACTCATGTTGTGTAGCAATATAGGCTAGGCAATAGCTGAGACCCGATTTCACTGACATGCTTGGCTTTGGGCCGGTTTAAGTTGGTGGAAGATCCACACTGCACCTCTGGTCTGGCTAACGTACCTGACACCTTTTCTATATTGTATCAAAAGAGCCGGGGACCAAACCAGGTCTTCCACTGCTTCTTCGGCTAGTCATGGGTACACCGTCTGTGACACTTCTGCTCAACTACAGATGCACATCCCAGAACTACCGATGGAGAGAGAGAGAGAGAGGGAGATCCCGGAACGACCGATGGAAGTGGAACACCCCCTGCTTGTAGAGGAATCAGTGGTCTTCCAAGGCGCCTCACTTGGCCCCTGCCCCTCAAACACCAGCGTCGACACGCCCTCACGACGACACGGCGCCCGGTTGAAAAAAATGGGTCCTCAGGTCCTCCAACTGGACGGTCGCACTCAAAAGGGAAGGCGTTGTCTGGGACCCTTCGTCCTTGGGAAGTCAAGGACGGTCCGGAAAACGGTCTGGACCCAATCGTCAGAGCAAGCACCCCAACATCGTCAGACCCTTTTCTCTCCTAGACACGATGTCAGAGGCTTGATAGCACAAGGGCCTCCATGTTCGGTGGTTTAGAAGGACCCCCATTTGTTCAGGACATCTTGGGGGAAATGTGCCATCTACTCCGAAACCACTGTACAGAAAGTGACTTACCCAGCAAACAAGTCTGGCTTCAGAGCTGCGGCCTTTCTATTCTCCATGTTTTCAGCTAGCGGCCAAACGCGTCCAGGCCCTTGTCCTCCGCCTTCGCCGAAAGCTGGCCGATCTATGGAGAACTGGCGAACTTCACGGTTTGGATCGCAGGCCACAGGCGCCTGCCCGCAGAGTGCGCGTCCAGAGACGCCGGTTTGGTCGCCGGTGAGGGTGAGGTGACGTTTGATCTACCCGTCCCAGTTGCCCAAAGAGCTCGGTGGGAAGGGTGTCGCACCCCCACCCACTTACGCACGAAGACCGAATCCTTCATGCGAGCTGCCATCTTTTCCTACTCAGGAAAAGTGGAGAACCATGAACCTGGAGAACCATTTTTGGGATTGGTTTCCCCACTGACATTGGGTTCGATGGAAAAGGTTCGATGGTCAACTGAGGAAGTCAGTTTTGAACTTGTGTGAAGCCTCGCTAAGCGATGCCTCGAGGCAACGTGCCAACTCTGAAAGCGATTTACAGGCCGGAAGATGGGGGGGGAGGCAAAGAAGGCCACCTCGAAGACAACCCACCATGGCCTGGAGGGGGGGGCAGGCATTTTGAGACGCCCATTTTTATACTTGTGATGATCACCCTGTGCGGGCCCAGTGACAGTCCTGAGCACGAAATTCTGGACGAGATCCCTCTCCGGAACTGGTTTGAAGTATTTGAGGCTGGGGCATTTCCAAGCATTTGCAGCTATCTAAAGAATCACCACCAAGCTCCCATCAGCTTCTTTGTAGGGTCCTAGAGGTG